TGCATAAAATATAAAATACTAATATTTCATATATTCTCTTTACGAAATTTTTATTTTAAAAATATAATTCACTCACTCTCTCAATCGCTCTCTCCCTTTTATTCGTCAAAAACGCTGCACATCTTCGTAACGCTAATATTATTATCATCCGTAAAAATATTACCCTCATGCGCCTTAAGAAGTTTCACTTCAAAAGGTTAATAATACTGTGAAATAAACGATAAGTTTCGTATGCAATAAATGGACAACTGAGTCGGGTATTGTACATGTTGAGAATGACTTTGTCAAATATTCAATTTCAAACGTGTGTCAGGACGCCTTTGAATTCGCTAGAGAATGGGCATGTTCATTTCTAGTAGCGATTGCAGCCAATCAAAGCCTTTTTCGATACGAGAGCCGAAACAACGGAGGCAATGAATCGGCCCATCGAAGTGAGCAATCGTTGTTAACCAATACCAAACTTTTTGGAATATACTTCGCTCTCACTTCGACTTCTTTTAATACATTTTCTCTTTGTGGTCTACTTCATTACTAGTTTGGTGTTTTTGTTTAAAATCTTATGGTTTTGATAATATGAAAGTTTGAATTTTGAGTCACCTTACATCGCTTTCTAGAATTAACTTACTTTAATTGTGTGAGATAAAATTTGTATGGTTACATATAATATGAAATCGAGCTTTGTTTCACGTTCCTCATGCAAAAAGCTCAGTTTTGTATTGCGCACCCTGGGCATATAACGACCAATTTAAGGCTTGACTTGTTTAAGCTATCGCGGAATATGCTTATGCATCATGAGCACACCCCAACCGCCGAATTAGGTATTACTTAGTTAAATGTATTTAATGATTTTTATTGTTTTTTTTATTTCGTAAATGTTTAAACCTTTTTGTAAATATATTACTAGCTGACCTGGCAAACGTCGTTTTGCCATGTATATCATTTATAAAAAGTAGGGGTTGATCGTAGAGGGGTGAAAATTAGGGGTTGTATGTATTTTTTAATGCTGTATCATAGAATTTCTTTTTTAATCTAAAAATAAAAAATAAAAAAATTAGGGGTGGACTACCCTTAACATTTAGGGGGATGAAAAATAGATGTTGTCCAACTCTCAGACATTCCCAATATGCACACAAAATTTCATGAGAATCGGTCAAGCCGTTTCGGAGTTTAACTACAAACACCGTGACATGACAATTTTATATATTAGATGTATTCCTCTTTGGCTATATCTTTAGTATAATTGATATTTGTTATATATTATTTATGTTAGCTTATATTATAGAATATTAATTAAATAAATTCACAGTCACAGGCTTCATTCTCTACATAATATATTATCAAATGAAGAATAAATTTTCAACCTTTTATCTCAATTATTATTTACCGTTATATATATGTGTAGGCGTACTTTTGTGAAGAAGTCTCGTATTGATCTGCTTAAAATAGAATTTTGACAATCTATAAGCGTAACTTCGTGAGGACTAACTTATCTAGTTACCTGTACCACTTCATTAAATTTGGAATACGTGTCCTGATCCCGTTATGTTTGCTTGTAACCTGGCAGGAACAATACGAAAAGATTTTTATATGGAAAAATCGAGCGCGTGATTTTGATTATTTTGCTTAGAAAAAATCTCTTCGCAAGTCTACAGCTATCAACCATATATATTACGATATAACAAACGTAGAGTGATGTTTATAGTCTTGCTAAGTCAAAGTGAAAGCCAAATTTTTTTATTCATTTAGGTAACACAATGTAAACTTATGAACGTCAAAAAAAGAAATACATATACATTAAATGCTTCTAATTTTACATTTACAGCCAGTTCTCTAATCAAGGTCGTAGAACGGAAGAGAATAACTGGCAAGAAACTCTCCACCACTCTTTTTAAGGCTATACAAGAGGCTAAAGTAATATTTAGGGTAGAGACAGCGACACCGGTACACTGACACTGGTACAATGACACTGACATGGGTACACTGAGACTGGTAGACAGTAGCGGTGACTCTAGAGCTGGTTGGTGCTTTTCTCGCTTAGCGTACGAGTATAAGCATCGCTAAATCGGTCAAAAGATTTAAGCCGAAATACCCTCGTACTCGGTAGACGGTAAGACGGTAAGACGGTATCCTAGATTTAATATTATTATTTTATTACTCAGAGTGCGATTACTATGTATCTGATAAAGTTGTTACGTGGAAAGGAAAACAATCTCGGGGTTAGGTCTCGGGGTGCCTGTTATAAGTTATAAGGCGACGTCGACCGCCGTTACTATTCGTACCCTCAACGAAAACAAACCTCTCGAAAAGGGCACACATTACACAATGTATAGTAATAATGAGCTGCACAGATTAACAGGCGTTTTTAATTGTCCATTGAGTGAACTGATAAAAGGTCTGCTTCATGTCAGTTCTGTAAGAAATAGTCTTTTATGTAAATATTTTAAATTCGTTTTGTTTTTTCCTAAGTGTGTGTATTGTTTTGTGATATAAATGTAAATAACCGCATTGGTTGAAGCTGTAATGATAGCTTATTTGGTTTTTAACGTGCCAAACGTTGAACGTGGTATTTAGTATATATAGATTCCGTAATTGTAGAATCTTTAAATACACACGAGTTTACGCAGTTAGAATGAGAAATAATTAGAAATAGTTAGTCCAAAGAACGTTTCAGATGTGGTGTACTTGTTTATAACAACAAAGGCATAGTCATTAAACACTTAGATGCATTTGCTTATGTAATGGCCGACGACCGAGGGACTTTGTGAAACTTCGTTATGCAATAATGAACGCTTAAGAAGATTGTTGAATTTGAGAAATTAGTTTATTTATATTCCAATAAATTATATTATTTTATTGTTTGAATAATGTATATTTTATAAAAATAATAATAATTAAGCCACTTTAACTACAGTTAAAAATTACATATTAAATGGTTTAGTTTTGTTTTATACTTATAGTCTACGTTGGTTATTGTTATTTCCGTTTCTGTATGTTCTGCAGTTATCCCTTTTGGATAAAAGCCTCCTCCCGAACTTTCCATTTGGATCTGTTCTTCCTCCATCCATTTTCCCCCAGAAACCTTATCAAAGTCGTCAGCCCATCGCGTTTGTGGTCCTCCCCAACACTGCTCTTTGGGATGTTGTTTTTTATAATATAGATATAAGCGGGCATCCAACAATAAATCAAGTCAAAATCAACTGCGCGCACACAATACGCGCGGAACGAACAAGACCAGTTTTTGATGTTGCGTGCGACTGAACGATAAAATGTTTCAGTTAAATATATACGTATTATATTGATATTTATTTCCAACACACAAATATACAGTGTTTATAATATTCTTGACCTACATAGTAATAATAATAATTAAACATACATAAATAGGAAATTAAAACAAATTTAAAAAGTTGGGTCCCTGTGGCAGTGTACGTTGTATTGCGATACTTATTCGTTGAGCGAGGAAAGCACCAGCTGTGGGGTCATTGGTACCATCTTCCTGGCGCCAACTTCAATCTTTAATTAGCGCACTTGAACACTACGGCCCAAGAGACTCTACTCCAAAGGGAATCAAATCAAAGTTGGGGGAAAGATATTTTGGATTTTAAATGTGTGAAGTTATTTAATTATTTATCTATGCTACAATATGTTAAGAAAATAGTCGCGGTTAACTCACACAAATTTATAAAACATTTTCAATGAGAAATCCGCTTAGCTTTATAACTTTTCTCCTCATTACAAAAATATTGCAATGAAATAGTTTATATCTTTTATTGAAATCGGTCCGAGAGTGGCCCAGTTGGTTGAAACTTTAATAATAGAAAGAGTTCGATGGCTAAAGTTGGCTTGGGTAACGACGTTTATTCGCAAACTTAGACCATCGCAAAATAAAATGATGTGAACACTAGTTACCGCTCGCTTTTAATATCGAGTTGAAAAGAAACAATTATCTTCATACACTTACACCTATCTGTGACCCAAAGCGTGTCGTGGCCTCATAAAATAATTTTAACTTACTTAATAATTTATTTTAATTATTTATTAATTAGAAAGTATTTCGCTACATAGCGGTGAGCTAAGTCTCAGATTTAATAAAAAAAATATAAATATATATTTGTTTAAATTTGTACCTAAACACGTATTTATATGTTATAGCACCTGTTTCACACAATTTATACTATATCATAAGTTGAAAAAATGCCCCTTCTATAATCATCTGATTATCGATATAGTCTTTTGGTATAATTTGTAATTTTTTCAATGTAAACTTATTACTAACATATTATTATATTATAGTTACTATATTAGTGCACGGCGTCCGCACCTATTACTAGTTCTAGTTTGCATAACATTTTCTTTAATTTTTTTACTATGACTTTGTTGGTGCCATAAATAAATGACTTTTAACATGATTAATGGAATAATAACATAATTTTATATCTAGTATATATGTTAACGTAAAATTGTAAAAACCGTTAGATTGTAATCTATCTCGCGAGATTATAAACTATCGAAAGATTGTGAACCTCAGCGTACTGCTTACAATTTAACGTATTATTATTCGGTAGATTGTAATCTATCGAAGTGAAACCGTCAAATTGTGAAACGGCCATTTTCTACTTTGCTATTGGTTATAAGAGATGTGACATTCTCGTTTTCTATTGGTTATAAGTGATGTGACATTCTCAGTAAATTAATCGAATCGATTATTTCCTCATTTGTTAATTTTAAAGTTAAACCTAATTTAACCATTACTTGTCAAATGTTCATACATGCGTTATATATGACGTCATATATATGCGTACAAAGGATTCAACTCATTGAATCCTTTGTAACCAATTCATGTTTGTATTGAATAATCTCAGCTAGTTTTGGTATGAAAATAAATATTAATTTAATCTAATAAATATTGGTCTTAGGAGGTCCTGGTGGACAGAAAAACTATGTCTTGTTAACTCCACGACACTAGTAAAATAATTTTTACTATGTATACAATAAATAAACTAATAAACACGTCTTTTTATATTAAGTTGTATACCATTTCTTGACTCCGTCATTAATCTATGAACAAATTGTGGTTCTGTGCCGGGACCGGCGAGACCAAGCTCATACCGCCTTATAATATTGGATATTGTAGCTTTCAATGCAACCCATGCGAATCGAAAACCTGTAATAGAAAGCTTAATTAAAGAATCTAAAAGTATATGGTATTGATTTAAAATGGATGACAGGCCTCCATAAGTCTTGTACCCACAAAGGTTGTCCTAAAGTTAAAATATTTTTATTTAGTTTCGCCGGGCTAGCAAAAATTTTCTGATTACTTAAATAAGATTCTCATGGCTATTATGTTTACCAGCATAAATCTTTTCTCAGAATATCGTATATGAATAAGGGTACAGGATTAGGTATTGTCCATTAGTTTGGTCCAATAAAATATATCTATTCTAATCTAAAAATCCCTAGTAACGCTATTGAATGGAGTTGGCGACCAAAATATCTATATGATTTGCTCACGCGGCAGACTTTTTGAATAGCGATACTTATACGATAAGGAATATTAAGGACCAGGTCTGCCATCATGGTAGCGCTGTGTTATTAATTGACACCCCCTTTAAAATGTAAAAAATAACCGGTATAGGTACTATATCATTTGTTCGTGTCTGCCTTGTCAAAATGAAAAAATAAAAAAGGCAAACATTTTGGACTTAAGGCGGCCATTCATGGGCGATCCATCGATCCATTTGGCACGCTGTCGATCCAAAATTCGTCCATGAATGTGAAAACACTGTTGGTCCAAATGGATTGGCTCGGCTCAATTCCAACTGCGCGAAAATCCATCGCAGCGAGTCAATTGGCGCGGCGCGCATACGCAGGCGGCGCGCTTGTGAATGCGGAAAACCAACGGTCAGGTCGGTCTGACGTCTGAGCCTACATACGGTTTGCTCGTTCGTGAATGGTGTTACTCGCGAGCCAAAGACGCCATTTCGATTTTAGTTTGCGTTTAGCCGTTGGACGAGAAGCACGTGACGCTTTGGAATTATAAATCGTTTTCGCAATGAGTTCAAACCGTGACTTTGTTATTCAATTTATTTTTGAGTTTAGAAAATCAAAATCAACTCCTTCATTAAATTCATGTGAGTGAGTTGCGATCTTTTCAGCAACCAATCCTTACACCACTTTCTTTTTTTAAAAACTAGACATATCGCAATTGTAGATAAATAAAACTCATCTTCTGAATCGAAGTTCATTATGAACACGTCCGGTGCTATCGACGCCTACACTCAAAATGATCAAATGGAACGGCTCGCTGGCGTGTTCGTGAATGGCATGAATTTGGCTCGGCGTGACGTCGAGTATCGAGCCCGTGGCGCGAAAGCCATACGGATCGCCCGTGAATGGCCGCCTTTAGACTTTTCAAGTTATGAATTTTTTAAGATTTTTTTAAAAACTATGCGAACAACCGCAGAAAAATAGTCCGCTACCATCGTAGCGCTGCGTTTTCTAATTAAAGGCTTCAAAAGTGTCGACAAAAAAGTGTGCTAGGTATATCATTTCCTCGTGTGTGCCTCTTTGACTGTTGTTTATAGCAAAAAGCATAAATGATTTAGACACTCCGGCCACTGATATTCCGAAAGCAGACCATTTGAATTTTTTTTACTATTTCCTGTTTTTTTTTTCAGTTCGCAGGTCAATAAATTTCAAAACAACAAAAAATAGTCATACTACGAATAATTAATTTGCCATAATACTTTTTCTCAGATTTGCGGAGTTCAACGAACTGTAATCGTTAAAGTAAATGAGTAAAAATTCTGCCAATTTCTTTTTGTATCCAGGCGGTTCTAATATATCGCATGGATCCAATAACAGCTCCAAGCAAAAGATTTAGTACAGCTTTTTATTATTTTTACATGTACCTCATGTGGTAATGCCCTCTGCATATCTGGATATCTGCCTTATAGATATTTTTCCTTACCTCAATGGTATTGACCAGTAACCCAAGAGGCAGACACGAGCAAAAGATTTAGTACCGATTTTTTCTTACACATATAAACCCCTGTAGCTTAAATACGCAGCAACGTAAAACCTTAATTGATAGAAAAAAATTGGCGTATTGATCTCAACTAGAGTTTAGTTCCTTACAATGTGAAATACCAGCAAATCATACACTTAAATTCACTCCAGCTCCTATATAGTTAGAACTTAATTACTCAATTTGCTAAAACAATAACACGAAACTTGAAATTGAACTAAATTTGGAGTTTTTTTTTCTATCTGGAGAATATTTGCAACTCCCAAATAGGTGAAATACACAGAAATACAGTCACAGAAGGCATTTCAATAAAAGTAGTAGAAATGTCTGCCTTTGGTAGCAAAATAGTAGATTAGGTACTATTTTTGAGGTTCTTTATTACCTTACAGAATAGGTATTGCATCTCGCAGTGGTCACCCCAGGCGGCGGTCTGTCTAAATCTGTCTCCTTAATGATTACTACGCTGGCGTTTGATTTTAATATACTCGTATAAAAAATTTTCACATACCTACACAATTACGTGGACCTGAGCTAAACGGAACTAATGCGTAATTATGCATCGGTGAGAAGAACCTGTCAGGGTTATATTTTTCAGGTTCTGAAAATATCTTTGGATCTTGGTACATCCCTTTGAAGAATATTACTAGCGTCGTATTAGCTGGTACCACTCGCCCATCTGAAAGAATATAATTGCAACTAGCTTTTCGAGTGCGAAAATATTTCTTACAGAAATAAATTTAATAAGAGTACACAAATAGAAAAAAATAGTAACAACTTTTTAGTTTTTATAGTCCCCCCCAACCTAAGAACAGATTCCATATATCATTCTTCTTGTTAAGTCGGCGTTGCAGCCCCAATGTTGTTAATGTTTTTTTTAGATTTAAGATTGTGGAAAAAGTTCGACATTTGGAAGAAGGCAGTCTTCGAAACACCTAACAACCGTTGCTGAGCTGGTGTATATTACATGTACGTGTTTATTTCCTATTCGAAAATAGTTTTTACTATGTTCCCATTTTAATACTACCTATAAGTTGAGTTTGTATTTTCAAGTAATCACCGTGTATGATTACTTGAAAATACAACATATGTATGAGATCATACATATGTATGAGAATATTAGGCGAGAAATTTGATACTGTTTCGAATGCCAACTACTACAAACTTTGCAAAATTTGTATACACAGTAACTCATACAATACACAGGAATGAAGCTAGATTCCCTTTACATGTTAAAGCTCATATGACATTCTACAACTTTGATTAACAATAAAATGCTATAACAGATTTAGGGTAATCGCGGAACTAAAATTAGCGCGAACTATTATATACGTACGAAACACACTTAGCCAAAGAAACATTGAAAGCAATCACCCCAAGACGGTTGGTCACCGTGGGGGAAAGCGACCATTACCCTCCAAATACTACTCCCACTCCCACACCTAAAACGAATACTTGTGCAACTGAGAAACAATTTTATACCAAACAAATATATATAGCCACATTCAACACATTATCCCTAAAGTCTGAAGAAAGCCTTAAAGAACTTCTATATTCTATCAAAAATATTAAGTGGGACATTATAGGCCTGAGCGAAGTAAGAAGGATTGGCGAATCAATTCAGGAATACGATGAAGTCATATTATATTATAAAGGTGAAACTCCAGGAAGACATGGAGTAGGTTTCCTGATCAAGAAAGAACTCAAAAACTCTATAGTGGAAATAATCGGCATATCAGAAAGGATCGCTATATTGAATGTTAGAATCCCTCCAGGCAGAGAAACATGGTCTATAGTGCAAATATATTCACCAACTGAGCAATCAACGAGTTCACAGATCGACCTTTTCTACTCATCCCTTAACACCGCCCTAAAAGAACACACACACAAAAACTGCATTATAATGGGCGATTTCAATGCACGTGTTGGAACCCCAAGAAACGGTGAAGATGTCGTACTAGGTCCTTACAGTACTGGAAAACGAACACGAAACGGGCAAAAGATGATGGAAATGGCATTTGAAAATAATATGAAAATAATGAATAGTGTATTCAAAAAAGAGCTTCCAGAAGATGGACATGGATATCACCAGATGGTCGATACAAAAATGAAATAGACTACTTTTTAACGAACAGACCCAAATCAATCGACGACTGTGGCACCATCTCTACCCTTAACTTCAACAGTAACCATAGAATGCTTAGAGCGTGTTTAAACGCATCATTTAGTTTGAAGTTATGTCGACCCTTCAAAATTAAAACATCCACAATGTGCAGCAACACTAGTATTGCCAACATAAAAGAAAACCTCAAGTCCGTGCAGGTATCATCGCTCGAGCACCTAAAAACTCAAGAGAAATACAACATAATACACGAGATACTAACAGCAAGATCGAAAACCACGTCTAAAACCAAATCACAGGACAATGGCCACATATCAGCTAAAGCAAAAGACCTCATAGAAAAAAGATCAAAATTAATTAAAATGACTTACAAAACAAAATCTATCAGAGAACAAATAGGAAAAACTAGCAAAGAAATTAAGAGCCAAATGAGAAGAGACAGAGAACGTCTTAGACGTGACACTTTTGAAAAACATATTATCAAGACGGGTGGCATAAAAAAGGCTCTTAAGCTCTTATCGGACAATACAAAGTGGATACCTAATATGAAAGACCAATTTTGCAAGACAAGGACTATCAGATCGGATATTTTATCAATAGCCACAAAATTCTATGAGAACCTTTACTCCAGCAAATATCATACTTACAATATAGACTTAACTAGCAACGATAATGTTCCTCATATAATAGAAGCAGAAATAAACAAAGCAATTGAATCCCAGAAGAAGGATAAAGCTTCCGGCCCTGACGGGATCAATAATGATATGCTTCAAGTCTGCAAAAAGAGATATCACCACTACTAAAATACATCTTTAACGATATACTGAGCACTGAACAAATTCCGTTACAGTGGACCACATCAACGATCATCCTCCTCCACAAAAAAGGTGACAGGAGTGACATGAACAATTATAGGCCGATAAGCTTAATGTCAAACATCTATAAAGTCTTTGCGAAAGTAATTTTGCGGCGAATAACCAGAAATCTGGACGAAAATCAACCTATAGAGCAGGCTGGTTTCAGGGCGGGATATTCAACATTAGACCATATACTTACGGTAAGACAAATATTTGAGAAAACCAAAGAATTCAATGTGCCGTTCTATTGTTGCTTCATAGACTACAACAAGGCATTCGACTCAATAGAGCACGAAAATATCTGGCACTGCCTCAAAAATCAAGGAGTCGACCCAAAGTACATCAGAATATTAAAAAATATATACACGAATAGTACCGCTAGAATAAAACTAGAAAAAGTAGGAAAAGAAATTAAAATAAATAGAGGTGTACGTCAAGGAGACCCCCTATCACCTAAATTATTCACAGCTGTACTAGAAGACATCTTCAGAGAATTAAAATGGGATGGGTACGGACTAAACATAAACGGGGGAACAACTAACACACCTACGATTCGCCGATGACATCATACTATTTGCTACAAACAAAGAGCATCTAAGAATTATGATTACAGACCTGGAGAGGAAAAGCCGCAAGGTAGGGCTAACAATGAACACCTCAAAAACTAAAGCCATGACGAATGCATCAGAAGATATTATTATAGTAAATGGAGAGTCAATTGATTATGTGAAAGAGTACACATACCTGGGCCAACAGATCTCAACCACTGGTATAATGTCGAAGGAAATTGATACAAGAATTGGGAAAGCGTGGAAATGTTACTGGGGGCTTAGCGAAATCATGAAAAACACAGAAATAAAAATAAATGTCAAATCAAAGCTGTATAACACTTGCATACTTCCGGTATTAACATACGGCTGCCAAACTTGGGCACTCACTAAAATGCAAACCAGGCAATTGAAGACATGCCAGACGGCGATGGAAAGAAGCATGCTAAATATCAGGAAGTCCGACAGAATCAATAATAAAATCATACGAAACCACACGAAGATTGAAGACGTCACAACGAGGATACGAAGATTGAAATGGAAATGGGCTGGTCACGTAATAAGAGGTATAGAAAAGTGGAACAAAAAGATCATATATTGGTACCCAAGAAATAATAAAAGAAAACGAGGGAAAATTTGGACCAGGAAAGCTCAGAACAGAGCAGAGTGGAGAGAAATGGAGGAGGCCTTTGCCAAAGTTGGGCAAACAGATGGGTTGTCGGTGTCACCGACTCACTAGTGTTAAGTTTAAGTTTAAAATTATGTTATTATTTTCTATCTGATTAAAGGCTTTATTATTATTATTATTATTATTATATACGTCAAAATCAAACGTTTAACGTTTGTTTCAACCCTAATAGCCCACGACGGCCAGACCTTTGTTATTTTATAAAGGCTGAAAGTTTATCTGTGTCTGGCAACACACCTCAGCGACTATAGAGTTTGAATATTGGTTATTTGCGCAAATAGTATAGTAAAAGGTGTGTATTTCTATTTCCTCAGATTTTACAAAATAACAAAAGTCTGGCCTTCGTGGGCCCTTGCGCTATAAATTATACGTTTATCTTGAATTCGTAAATAAAACCGATACCATTAATATGTAAATAGATAGAGAGCACCAGCAAATTCTAAAATAAGATTTGTGCATTCTTCGATTTGAATTGTAATATACTGATTATAATTACACGCATTGTTTTTCGTCGGATTATCTATGGAAGTGAAATCGATTAATTGTAAAATGGCGTGTAACGAAACGCGTTGAAGTTAACAAACCAATATGGCGGCGCGGGCCACATGACATTTAACCAATTACCGCGCAAGGTGCGTTTGGTAAGTAAATAAATGTCTTCCGAAATGATAAATAATAATTTTAGTACATACTGCACTAGACAGTTTGACTGCTTGATTTTGCGATCCAGTTTTTTGATTAGTTGCAAGATTTGTTGTTTGTGAAGTTTGCCTACCTCTGATTGTCATTGCACTGTGTACACGATTTATTAAATCAATAAAAATAATCTTTCAACCATTCGATTAAGTTTGTACAGAATTTCATTAATTGTAGTAGAATTACTACTATCATTGTTATCGTTATTATATATTTTTTATTATTAATTGTTTTGAATCAACCGTTCTTATCAACAGGGACAAGAAAAAGATAGCGCGTCACGGAAAAATGTGACGCGTAACCGAAAAATGTGACGGTAATTTTTTTTCCAACTCCGAAAAAGAAATTTCACTTCAAAAAGTTTTAGTAATTTACAGTATATATTACCTTTGAGCTGTAAATCATTCTTAAGATGTCTAGATATTTTTGTTATCGTTGGCAAAACACGTATACTCTCCTTAATAACAGCTTCTAGATATTTCATCTCATTCAGTTCCTTATGATTTGGTTTTTTGAACCTGTTCTCATTAAAAATTAATGTTTGTTCCTCCAAAACCCTGTGTTGTACTTCAGAAAACTTTGCAATGCAGTACAGAGCGTGGGACAACGCTATTCCAGTCGTATGATGACCCTAAAGTAAATAAAATAATAGAAATTCTTTAATCTATGGTGAAGTTTTTGAAACTTTGATAGAAATATTCATTTGTGTCTTACAGTTCCCAATTTTATAGTGACGTCATTTTTGTTTTGGGTAACTCTGCTTATATTTATTAGATTAAATTCAATCTATCAAAATTATCAAATCTATCCTCACCCGCACCGTGTGAACGCGACATTGGCGGAATTGTGATTTACACAGAAGTCCCCATTATAAATAAAGTGAAGTGAAGTTCCCAATTTTATCTATTTGTTAGAGTGAGAGAGGAATTTTTAAAAAATCTTAGTGGATAGTGGATATTGTAACTACAAAGTACATACCAATATTTAGCATATCTGTGGTTTTGGATTTGATTCGATGAATCAGTCAGGACATACGATTATACAAAAAGATAGACAAATCTATAGATCAACAGAGTATGATAACGTATTCTCCGACTTTGATTCATGATTATAGTTGTAGGATGCCATCGGTAATATATTATAATAATTATATTAGGTAACGTAATATTTATCTTTAATCAAATTAAATAAATCAGTAGCGCTTCAACCTTTTTAGGTCTAGGCCTCACATTTTTTGTAACTGTTTCATGATCTTTTAATAATCTAATAGGTAAAAATGGGTTATCAGCCTCGTGTGCCTGACACGCGCCGTCGACTTTTTCGGTCTTAGCCGGTTTTTCTCACAATGTTTTCCTTCACTATTCGAGCGAATGTTATATGCGCACATAGAAAGAAAAAATTTTGGTGCACAGCCGTGTTCGAACATACGACCTCGGGGATGAGACTCGCACGCCGAAGCCACCGGGCCCACAATGCTCCTATTGTATCTTAAATAACTCGTCTAATTCAAATTAATACTTACTGTCCAACATGCAAGTTTGACTTCTTCAAAAATAATATCTTCATTGAGTACAACACCGCAATGCAGTTTGCTTAAAATTAATCTATCCAATAAGCATTCATTTTCTATTAAGACATCGAGTTCCATGACATTTTTATTGTTTTCTGCATATTCAATGACTTTTTGTAATTTTTTTCTTCGTTGTGCAATAACCTAAAAATTTGTTTGACACTGTGTTATCAGACTCTTGTGTTGTTTGTGAGTAAAATGTTTAAGGCCAAAGAGGATTCCAACGATTCCAAAGCTTTGAATTCTCGTTTATACATTAATAAGGTTTCTGTTGGAGATTTTTGAGCTCAGCCCTGCGATTCTGTAACTCACTTTTCGAACTCACACAGCGGTTTTCGCATCGGCGGTCGCTCTCAAATCAGTCGTGAAGCAGTAATTTTATGATTTGGCATTCTGATAAACAATAAACTACAAGCTCCCACCTTTTCAGAATGCCAAATCATAAAATTACTGCTTCACGACTGATTTGAGAGCGACCGCCGATGCGTAAACCGCTGTGTGAGTTCGAAAAGTGAGTTACAGAATCGCAGGACTGTACAGTTAAGACACGGAGGTCTATGTTTTAAAGTTGTTAATTTTATTTTATTTGGATACTTACATCATTACTCATATTATCGAGAACTTTAGCGATACGCTGCGTTTCCTTGTACAATTTTGTGAACGTCACAAACCATGGGATACTTCTCCAATAAGAAAAGTAAGTATCCGTTATTAATTTCATTGCTCTGAAATTTTTTAAAATTATAATTTTTACAAGTAGGTACTTTTATTAACATTATTTGACAGCTGAATTTATTTTGCATGCCAAAACAAAATGAATCATATATGCACAACATTATTGTTGAAATTCTTCTTCTTGTTTAAATTCTTCGCCCAAAAGTCGAGAAATTGTTTCGTACAAGATTGATAGTCGTAATTAATTTAAGTATGTGAACCTTGGTAACGTACGGAATCTGAAATAGTTTCTTTATAGTAACTCACTTTTAACTAACCGTTCGAAACGTTTAGTTATCTTTAAAGTCTATTTTAGTAAAGTTTTATTATGGTTTTTTAATTATAATAAAGAAGTTCCCTGAAATATGCCTGTCGCTATCTCGTGTGATCCTTAGTAATTTGGAACTGCCCCGCTAGCGCAACAGGGAGCATCCCTGACTCATTATAGCTGAAAAGCTACTTATTCTAGCTTCCGCAAATCTGCGGCACAACAGAAGCAAAGTAGCCTCCACCAGAGCCCGGTTATTAATGTAATTATTCGCGATTAAACCGTCATATATAATTTTTGCCCAAATTCGATCTACATTGTTCCTGCATGACATAGGCTATATTCTGATTATAATTATTTATTTTATTTTAAGCCTTATCTTAATTTCCTAATACAAATATATCAAGTTATCTCATGTGTTAGTGAATAATTTTTAAGTTAGTAAGTATAGGAACCCTCTGGTAAAGGCTCCTCCAAGGTTTGCCATCTTTCTCTATCCCGACTATTTGACCCAGTGAGGACCCGCGATTTTTTTGATGTCATCATCCCATCGAGCGTAGGGTCTGCCTCTGTTTTTTTTTTTTTTTTTGGGGTATGATGATATTCTTAGGGTTTTGGTCATAGTCTTCCAGGTACCATTGGAAAATATTGGGGAGTGTGTTTATATACTTTTGTTTCTTTTGTTTCTTCTGTTTCTGAGCCGTATACAATAATTGCTATTGCTGAGTTTTTGTTGGGAGTGTTGAATGTGTGAGATCGGCCTCTATCACGTCGAATGCATTTATTCTGTTATTTCTAGACGAGATTAGTGTTTGCTGTTTTCTTGGTGTAATAATTTTTGCGGAGAGTTTGATTTATCTCTCTTCCTCTTGTCTATGGCCCTTGAATTCCCTTTGACAATAAGTTTATCATACTTTATGAACGCTATGTTTCTTTTGCCTTTCTTCCATTATTTGGGTTGAAGGACTTCGTATTTAAGGTTTCTTTTGAGTAGTTTTGTTATATATAATTCCTTAAATTTCTTTGTTTGATAATTTTGCTCTTTTCAATCCGCTAACTAAAGAAAGGAGGGTAGGCCTAGGTTTTCATTATTATTTTTATGAATACGGTAGATTTTATTTATTTCATAATTTTCTAAGGTTATACCTAGTTCATCCAATAGACATTTTTAATGCACTCGATTAAATCAACGTTGACTGCTCACTTTCCGCCAAACCGTGGATTATTATATTATTGCTTCTCTTATCTCTTTCTAGATGCTCTATTTTCTTTTCCAGCTTTTTACTTTACTTTTCAATATTTGGTTTTTGAGGAAGGTTAGTTTTTCCTCCATTTTATCAAGTATTGTGTTGTTAGTTGGGTGGTTTGAATTCCAACTTATTTTGTCGAACAGTAATTGGAATTGGTTTCATAATTTTGTGTATACCTAATAAAGGAATTAACTATATGTTTTGCCAATTTTATTTTTTTCCTACAGTCCTCTGTGAAAAGCCAGAGGATAACGGATGATTAGGGTTTAGGCAAAGTCACACTTGTTTTTGATAAGGTGTAATGTTAATTAAATGTCTATCAAATTTGTTTTTACTTTTTATTTCTTTCTTTTAAAAATTTTTGGAGCTATAGTAATGAATGTTGGTAAAAGAGGAGAAAAAAATATAAAATCATAAAAATAATATGGCCTGAGATTTATTAGTAACTTGTTTAAACTTTTTATGCAGTTCTGTTCAGTGCAATGTGAATGTTGTAACTCGGAATACTCTGTAGTATTCTCCGTTTTTAATATTATATATGTTTTTTGTTGAATAATGAATCATTTTAGGACTTTACTTTAAAATAACTAATTTTTTTCTTTTAAAGTAGTTTATACTTTATTAATATATTTAACTATTAAAATTTTTTAATTATACTTAATGTTTTAATGTATAAAGTTTTAAAATTTGTACACTTTTGAAATTTTGTATTTTTATAGGTTTATATGAAATAGTCTAATAAATCTTCACAAAACTTGCACTATATATAAGACTACTTTATATTTTTTACTCAATTAATATTTGTGTATTTTAAAAAGGGAGTAGAGGGGCTATATTCTGATTATAATTCAACTATGTTGCATCAAGCTGGTAATATAAATTAAGGACGCTGAGCAAAATGCAAATTTAAATTTAATTACATACGTGTCGCCTGCCTCGAAGTATGGATGGTCTATACTGTCTAGGAAATTCATTTCAACGCCCATCAGGGAAGCTGTAAACAACATTAAATTTATAACGTTTACTCATGTTATTAAACAAGTCTTAAGAATTCTAATTCGAACGTCTAGGAGTTTTCAGATAATTGTTGCGAGTAGAGAACAGAAAGAGAGGAAAAATAAGTGACCCATGCGGAAATGACTGCCTTCCGGAAATGATGTAATCCCGTTTCAGGGTTTCCCTAATGTCCGTTCCACCCTTGCTTTAAGAACTGGCAAGTGAAATATAATCATTTAATTTTCATGTTCATAATATACAGTAGTGTGGAATTTATATTTTGACTTTGGTTACAATTTTAAGTTATCCAAAAGTCTTGAACTTCATTCCTTCTTCCAAAAATATACAAAATAAGGCTGTAGGTATGAACGCTGTAATCTCAAAAAATACTTAACAGATTTTTGTACGGTTTAACCAATAGATAGCATGATTTTGAGGAAAGTTAAAGAGTATTTATTAAAGAAATCGCAAACATGACAAATCTCAAAATACACGAAATCGTGAGAACAACTGCGTGTGGAAGCTCGTGTTGTTTGTAAACGACCTGTAGCAATATGTGGGTCTATGAGCCCCTTCACTACAAATTTAATATATTAATGTTTCTTTGTTTACCTCATTAGAAAGAACCTAGACAAAACCCTATGCACTTACAACACACTGTATCCAACAAAAAAGGCTTAATGTATTTGTATACGTCAATCCTATTTTGCTCATCCAAGAGTTCAAATAATCGGTCGCAATGCTTATTAACGGTGTCAATTTTCTTCTCTATTGTTTTGAAGTGAAAACTTGGCGACACCAATTTGCGTATCAACCTCCATCGCTCACCTTGAAATTTAAATAAAGAATATATTCTAGTGTTTGTATTAAATACAAGAGGCTATTTGACGGTATTAAAGTGGAAAAACACTTTTTTAACGGATTTGAAGTTATGTTTTATTATAAATTTACAATAATTTTACATAATTTAAAATTTAACCGACGTTTCGCGTGCTTTACAGCGTGCTTGGTCACGGTGACTGAAGACAAAAGGTGTTGAATGTAAAAAAAGTGTCACAGCTGTAGAAAAAGTTGTGTTATCTGTATTTATTTCCCCGGAGTTGGTATCGACTAAAAGATGGAGGGTTTTGGCAGAAATGGCTCACGGTGTCCTCTATTTACGCGGATTGTTTACCTCGAGATTTTAATAAAAGTAATGTACGTTTTATACATACCTAATATCACTTTTAAGGTATTAAAGTGTTATTAGGTATGTATAAAACGTGAATTAAGAAGCCTGATGGAGTATATAACTTGTAAGTAATCAATAATTTATCAAAATATATAAAAATTAATGACAGTTACTTGTCACAAGACCATGCATATGCGAATACATAGTAAATAATGTATTCGCCTATCGAATCCTAATACTGTCACAGAGTTTAATTTCGTCAAAGACTGTTGATTGATAGATATGATACTAGCGGCCCCCAGACGTTGACCTGCATGATATTTCAAGCGATTAGGATATTAAACAATACCTTTTCTGTAGACCGGTATTTCAAGTATAATAAATATTCAGCATTGTTAGTTTTTTAATTAGGTAAAATATTAAGCGAATCTGAATCCAATTTAAGTCTTTAAAATTCGAATAAATAATAATATATAATTTTAAATAACCGTTAGAAGTTGAAAGAGAGTTTCCAAAAAGGGGTTTCATTCCAGTGTTCCTCTCGACTTGTTTACATAGCTCAGTCGGATGATTCAGTATTGTCTAAAAAAATAATTGTAATTAGCATAATAATTTATAGTAATCATTATGTATTTTTAATTGCGCAATAATTATTGCGTAACGATTCTAGTCGGAGATGTAGGTAAGAAAATAATGTTGCGCTGACTTCTAGGGCAAGAATGGAATGCCTAGAATCTAGACTCACCAATCAGTATATTGAATTCACTGCTGAAAACTCCTGTGAAAACTGGGTCAGACATGGAGTAGGTACAGCGTATTTAGTATTCATAATAATAATAAAAAATCAGTGCTACAACCATTTTAGGTCTAGGCCTCAGATTTCTGTATCGGTTTCATGATAATTTGCTAATCAAAGAAGGTGGTCAGCCTCCTGTGCCTGACGCACGCCGTCGACTTTGGGTCCAGCAGTCAAGCCGGTTTCCTAACGATGTTTTCCTTCACCGTTCGAGCGAATGTTAAATGCGCACATAGAAAGAATACCTATTGGTACTCAGCCGGGGATCGAACCTATGACCTCAGGGATTAGAGTCGCACGCTGAAGCCACTAGGCAAACACTCCTCATTTTGTAGTCACAGTTTATATTATTTCAATTGCAATTCATAAAACCAAAATGGAGTCCTTAGATCCGATCAAACATAAAGTGATCGTTATTATTATTTAAAATAAAATAAAAAATAACATCAAAGTGTATTCTTATATTATTTTATTATCACATCATCACGGTATTAAAGTACATTATTTTAATTATCAAATTAATATTAATTATGTTTCACTCAAGTTACCATATAATTGTAGATTTTCTTAATAATATATTAGATGGATTTTTAAAAATTCTAGTAGGAAGATCTTTGTTTTTGGCAAATTATTATAAACATTGATTGCTATATAAAACATACGTATTCTTATATTTTCTTATTATTATATAATATACTAGCTGACCCGGCACACGTTTGTATTGCCTTGTATATTATTTCTAGGAAACATTTTTTAGTTCAATAAAAATAACTATATAACTATCTTACAATAATAAACAATAGGGATTGACTGTATTTTTGTTTGCTGTATAATAAAAAAATTAAAAAAAAAAAATTGAGGTAGACTCCTTATCTCTTAGGGGTTTAAAAGATAGTAGCCAATTCTCAGACTAACTGAATATGCATAAAAAATTCATAAGAATCGGTCGAGCCGTGTCGGCGGAGTATGGGAACGAACATTGTGACACGAGAATTTTATATATTAGAAGATAAACTCACGGCGACGTCATCGGGATTGGTAACCAGCAACCACTCTTCATTGCCGACCGTCATGCGAAAATTTTGCATTCCATATTTTTTCCATAGATTTAAAATCTTATCGGATGATTCTGTAACCAAATCATTAAACATTTCAAAATAAATTATAATTCAAATTTCACCTACAACCAAAACGAAACAAAATAATTTAATAAAAGGGACAAGTTCTTGTGAGCACGACACACATCTTAAGATCTTTTCATGATCACTAAGAATTCCTTTAAATTGTAATGAGGACTTTATTGCATCGTGTACCTTGTACTTGCACCAAAATAAAAAAAAATCTTTATTGAGATAATTTTAGTTAATTGTTTTTTGGTTTCTCCATAGGCTTCTCAGTCACCGCTTTAAAACGAAAATTTAAATTAAGAATGTAACTTTAACCTACACAAGTACTACAAGTTAGTTGTTTTCAAAATATTTAACTTCAATCTCATACGATATGAAATATTACAAAAACAAATTAAATTTTTCAATTATATCCAAGGTTGTACAAATTAACAATTTATCTAAATTAAACGTTTTTACGTTAATTATCACATTTCATTTCAAGCACTACAAAAACTCGTTCATATCAACATTTTAATTAAATAGCTGAATATTTATAATATAAAAATAAAGTTATATTACTTTCTGAATCAAATCCCAATTGTAAGCCATTTCCGACGATGGGTAGCGGATAGTCGCCGGGATATTCCCTTAACATTTTCCAATTACGGGTGCATCGTTGCAGGACGCAATAAACACATAATAAAATCGCCCCAATCACCACGAGCAAGTAGAACATGTCAGATCGTCTTCTCCGCGTGCAACTGAGTAAATACAATCCTACTGCTACGAGTAAGCCTTTACTTCTAAAATTGATTTTATTTTGTATTTGGTTTATATATGGCTAGGAATGTGTTTGTTAAATCATACAACCACTGTTTAGCACCAAATAACGAAATCTTTAATTACACCATATTAATAAAAAATATTTCATACTGTCTTTATTCCCTTAAGCAAGCTTGTGTTACCGACGCAGCGCACGAATTGTACTAAATGTATCAGATGTATGCAAATAGACGGTAGTCTACCTTTAAATATTAGAATACGATTAGGGTACTTACATTTTTTTTTAAATTATTAAAAACTGTATGAAATCCCCTTTCTTCATTTTTTCTTCTTTTTTTTCTGACACATTTCTATGTATGTTTCAATAATAATTGAAACATTAGGCGAGTAGGTGATCGCCTGATCATTCTCTGCCGATATTTCCCTTAGATACTAAAATCAACGAAATATCGGGGTCAAGCATTTGCACTTTTTATTAGAAAGAGTTGTTTTTATAAAGGACACCTGATGTTAAATTATAACGCAGCCCATGGACACTCTCAATGCCGGAGGAGTCGATGGAGATGCTCGCGAGTACGTTGCGGACCTTTTAAGAATTGGTACGCTCTTTTCTTGAAGGACGAATATTCAGAGACCGTCGTCATCTCAGTCAAACTAGGCCTTAACTTTCGTCAAGGCAAGGTTCAAATTATTTTAAATTAAATATGTATTTATATTAACAATATTTTTTTTCAATTAACATTTGAGTATTATCTGCAAATTGCAAAAAATATCAATTTGAGCGTTTCAAAATGTAATGAGAAAATAAATTCTAGTCAAGAGTGTTGAAAATTGCAAAGTATTTTTGCGAACCTGGGATTTTATTGCTAGGCTTCATAAATTTAAGACAGATTTAATATTATGTAAACTTTAAAAAACGTTTATTTTTCTCTGTGTTTGTCGTATTGTTTTCATTTCATTAAGGTAGGCTATAACCATATTATTTTACTAAGCCTACCTTTGTAGTAGCTACATGTGGAACATTTTGTTGTGCTACCCCATAGAGACAGTTCTCTTTTCCGGAATTAAAAAACGTTTTTAGGTTTTTCAGCGAAATTTTTCTCTCCTTAGAGTTCAAGGAACAAATTAAAAAAAACTCAAATTGGTCCAGCCGCTTATAAATAGCTGTTATAAATTTATTTATAGATAAACGTTCTTAATTAAAATAATACAGAGTACATTTTCCGCTCTTTGTTTACGAGATGATGACAGTTTTAAATTAAATTAGATGTAAACGTGATTTTTAATTTTTCTTTTATTTTTCCTAGCCAGTAATATTATATCAGGTTTTCTTTAAGTATGATATTCCACTGCATACGTTAATTTATAAACTGACATTTTAAGTACAATACCAATGAAAAAATTTTTGAAAAAAAAAAACAGTTTTTGTTTCTTCTTTTGTTTTAAATTTACTTTACAACTAACTCAACTTTAGGGGGCCTCATAGCCTAGCGGTCTTTTTAAGTGGCAGCTAGGTGAGGGAAACCGGGTTTGATTCCCGGTTCGAGGGCAAGTTTTAATTTAATTTAAATTTGTTCTCGGCCTTTGGGAGGGTTGTTCGGTACCGGACGAGTGATTAAACCGTACATGGAGGACACTATCGAATTTCTAAAAAAGGCAAGCACTAATTATAAAAAATCTTATACTTGACGCTGGCTAATGCACAAACCGTGCCAGAGCCATAAAAAAAACTCAACTTTAAAGACACTGTATCTTGACACTTGACAAGGGCGTTAATAACATGTTCCTAGGCGGTACTATGTACATTGTAAACCAATGATTATAATATTATTGTAATGAATATCGGCGCTTCGATGGACGGTGAATTTGTGATTTGTTCTGTTACATACTCACATATTTTTTTATATTTAATAAATAAAGTTAACTATAAGATCGGTCCTCGAAATATTTAAATGTTTACTATTCTTATCCTATTTATATATGTACCTATAATATACTTACCACACATATTTCGGGGAAAATTATATCATCAACCTAGTTGTTAGCGAGTAGGTGATAAACCTTTTGTGCCTGACAGACACCGTCGACTTTTTCAGTCTAAGGCATGACAATCCTCATGATTTCCTTCACCGAACAAATGAGTGTTAAATGAGCATAGAAAGTCCATTGGTGCTCAGCCAAGGTTCGAACCTATGACCTCAGGATTGCCATCCTGAACAGCATGAATCAGCGTGCCCGCTGAAGCCATAATGCAAACACGGGTCTAGTTGAATATCGTACCCTTTTATTATTTCTTTACTGGTACTGAATTATTTATTATACTAACATAAGGATAATTTAATTCTATAATAAATATACGAAATTCCACCCGTATCACCTCGACGTCCGACGTTCCACAACTGAGCGTTTTTCAAGGCAGTTTTTGCCGCGCACCACCACTATGTGGTACCAGCTGCCCACTGAAGTATTCCCGAACCAATTCGACTTAGGGTGCTTCAAGAAAAGAGCGTACCAATTCTTAAAAGGCCGGCAACGCACTCGCGAGTCCTCTGGCATTGAGAGTGTCCATGGGCGGCGGTATCTCTTAACATCAGGTGAGCCTCCTGCCCGTTTGCCCCCCGTTCTATAAAAAAAATAATAATAATAAAAATAAATTCATTTCTATTTCTCGATAGTTCGAGCTCATTTTCTAGTTCTTGGCGTATCTGATTGTAACTTTTCCCATTGACTGCGAAAAGTTTAACGCTAAATCAGACGAATGATAGTAATCCGTTAAACAAATTCAACTGATAAGACATGAAAAACAAGGCCAACTTTTGCAAAAATGCAATACAATGTTTTCAATAGGCGTTACTATGATTACCTCTGCTCAGAAGCGATTAAGCAAGGAAAAAACTTCTGTGTGGGGATGTAAATTCTGCATGTTCTACAGCATTCACCATAGAGAGTGCTAAGAGGAGTTGTTTGGATACCTGCAGCTGAGTTTCAACAACAGACGTCGAGGCAAAATATGATATTCCGCCGAGGGGTGGACAAAAAATTCGCGGAATGACAGGGAAGGGTAATGAAATGAAACATCAAACTATTTTTCCTTTTCAATGTATTCTCCCGTTACCCTAATACATTTATCAGATCTGTCAAATAACTTATTAATACCGTCGAGAAAAAAAAGCTTTGTCTTGGTCGTCAAAATAGGCCGAAATTGCCGACTTCACTTTACCATCGTCGCAAAATTTTTTACCACGCAGTTCTTTCTTCATTTTTGGAAACAAAACTGCTAGGGACCAGGTCTGGGCTGGGTGACGCAGTTGCTCCTCGACCTCGACGTCCGTGGTTCGACAACTAATGTAACATAATATCATGATTGTAATATATTCTGTAACATAAAAAAAATAAAAAAAACATAATATAGGCCGTAACGTTCGCTTTTGAGTTAAATATAGTCAGTTAGTAGCGGACCCGATAGACGTTGTCCTGTACACGCGTCTTAAGATCTCACCTTTCACCGTCTGAAGGTTAGGTGCATCGAAAAAAAATGCCAAAAAAGATTTTAACATTATCTTCTTCTTCTTTTTCTTCTTTTAGTGCCTCTCCATTACTGGAGGTTGGCCGTCAGTATCTTGAAGCGTGTCTTGTCCTGTGCCAGATGCAGCAACTCTATAACATTATCTTATCAAATTGCAACTCTGTCATAACATATTTAAGTATATTTTTTACAAAACAATATAATACAATCACAATATTTTACATTAGAAAACCGCTGTGGTTTGTATTAATGTATTCATAGCAGTCTTGTTTAGGAGCGCGACAAATGCATATAAAAGCAGTTTTTCAATTTAATGTTTATGTTGGTTGGCGTAAGGCAATCTAATATACTGTATAATTTTAATAATAATATAGCCTTTTATTCAGATCGACTTAGGATGCATAAACATAGATCATTATAATAAAGTAGATAATATAATGTTGAAAAAAAACTATTCCATTGGAATTTGCTTGATTTCTGCAGATCTGTTTGCCAGTCGCTTGGCCTCCTCAAACCTTTTCCATTCATATCTTTCTGGGGCCACTCTGTTCCACATCACTCCTTCCACTTGTCTGATGTCATCTTCCCACCTCATCTTTTGTGGTCCTCCTCTACTCCTTTTGTCTTCCCTAGGGTACCATCGTGTAGGTCGACGATATCCCATTGGATTTGTTGAAATGCACTAGTTAGTTCAGTAAGGTTTTCTTAATTTTTCAGTGTTAGTACATTCAGGGCTGCTACATAAATTTTGGATTGCTCGTGGTAATTGTTGGAGGGTTGTGGTCTATGTTTTTCTTGGGTTTTTGTTTCCCTCTTCTTCTTTCTCTTTTCCATTTTTGGTTGGAGGGTTGTGGTCATTTCCTCCCACGGGGTCCGCTGTCCGCATTGGGAGAGTTTGATGTTGATATTGGGTTGTTGTGTTTTTGTAGTTCTGATTTGTTATATTCCGGTTTCTGATGTGCATTGGTTATCATTGATTACTTGTTCCTAATGTTGGGTTGGCCTTGTGTCGGCTCATGAGCCCAAGTGGATATGTTTTAATAATATACTGTATGTGTATTATAAATTAATTTTTATGACATTGATTTCTGCCGTTTTATTATATTTTATTCATACTTAAGATGTATGTGTGGTGTAACATTGCGTGATAAGTAATAGTGAGATACGTGGTTGGGTTTATAGGCGACAAGGGTACGAAAGGGAATGCTTAGGTTTGGTCATGTAGAACGAAAGAAGGGGTTAACAAGTTGGATATACCAGGCAACCGTGGATGGTGAAGTCAGGTTGGGTAGGCCTTCTCGTACATACCGGCACCAAATCTAGGAGATACTAGAGAAGGGACAAGTTAAAAGTACCCATAACCGAAGAGCATGGTGACTGTCAATGAAAGTGGATGAAGCGAGAAAGGTATATCAGGACCGTAGCAAGTCGAGATCCGTGGTCTATGCTTACCTCTTCGGGAAAGGGGCGTGAAGATATAAATGAATACAACACATATTATTTTCATGTATATCATGTGTTATCAAAATAATAATTATAGCATTTTAATTCAAATACTTTTTTAAAAAAAGTTTCTATTTCAATCTTATTTTAGATATCTGTGTGCCCTTTTTTGGCAAAGGCCTCCTCCAAATCACGCCATTCCTCTCTGTACTGTGCTACTCTCTGCCATGTACCACCTGCTGTTTCTTTAATTTGATCTACCCACCTTCTGAGTATCACCTTGTTATCAATAGAAGTACATTATGCCTGTGTGTCCAATCAAGTGTAAATAAATTAATCAAATCTACTCTGTGTTATTAATTTTGTTATAGAAAAGTTTTTAATGATAAGTTTACCTTTTATACTCCGAATATCCCTCACAAATTCCAAACTTAAACTTAAAGCAAGCATTTTTGCGCAAAATATCTTTTACCCATCTGAGAGGACTACAAGTTCGTTGCTTATATTTTGTGTTGGAATTAAAAAACTTTCAGTTTCCATTTTCCAAAGGTCTTTTATACGTCGATTGTGATTTTCATATAAAGTAAAAGAGAGTATTTGTGTAATTATTTATTTCATAACATATAAACATTGATATCAACTGATAATGTAATTATTATTACAAAAGATAAATTATGCAATCGTTATACATACATATATTTTTATTTACCTACATATATAAATTAAAACTTCATTTATTTAAATAAATATTACATAACCATTTACTTTATTTTATAAATAACTTGCTATCATACATCTTAATTATAAAAAAATATCTTTACTGTATCACAAGCCTTTGAATATTTATGCGTCTAGGTACTAAACTAAATGTTAAAAGACATTTCCTTAATCTAATTTTCCCTAACAATACAGCGATTTATTAATTCATTGGTATTACAAATTTAAAATAATACTACCTCAATACTTCAGAGGAAAATGAATCAATAATAACAAATCAAAATCGACTATAAGATTTATTATGTATAAAATTATTTTAATACTTATTATCACATTTGCAAACCTTTTATCTGCTAGTATAATATTTTTTCGTATGGAGACGTGACTCAATTATTCGTTTAAATATATATAATATATGTCTAACTCAACTTGGCACAACTCTTAGGTGCAAAAGTTACGTAATAAGGAAAACAGTCTATATATATATAATCAATAATACTTATCATAATTTATAACCGCTGAGATTAAAGTCTAAAATGTTGGCATATAATTTATCAAAAAAAAGGATTTTAGGGGGTTAATTATATGTAATTATAAAATTGACAAGTGAATCTCAGCATTATGAAGCTAATATAGCTTGTTTACGATCTTAAAGTTAAGTCAGTGAAATTTTATTGGTAAATTTTCACGAGTTGCAATCGTGTGATTTCTGAGTATATCTATTATGTGCCGCTTATTGTTAGTTATAAGAAATCAATACTTAAAGATTGCGAAAGAATCCCTAAATTCTCCGTACTATACAAAAATAGTAACAAATAACGTAAGCTTCTCTACAGTTTAATCTCTGCCAAATAAGTATAAACTCCTCTTTGGGAATTTAACTTATAAATTACGATTATTTATTTGCCAACATTTTATAGGTATGCTATGTAATTTGCAGTTATAGATATGTATAAATTACTAATCTAGTTATCATACGCAACTGGAACTTAACCATTAACTCCATGTTATACCAAAAAGCCTATTTAACCATCACATATTGACTTAGTCAGAAGGTTTTTTTAGGTTAATCTGTGGATCTAAGTTCGTTTCTTTAGTCTAAGCTGTAAACCATTTTTGGACTCCGTTACTATTCTGTATGCGAATTGTGGTTCTGTTCCGGGACCGCCAAGGGAAAGCTCGTACCTCCTGATAATATTTGATATTGTAGCCTTCATTGCTACCCACGCGAACCGGAAACCTAAAACAACAGAACGTCGTGAAAACAGGAAATAAATTAAATGTATATTTTTTATAATTGATGTCGAAATCCGATACGATTTTATTTACACATGTCACAAACCTAATAATATGTAGTTAAGCATGTGGTTTTTACTTTCTTTTGTCTGTTTGTTATCATGTTTTATAGTCTGTGCTTATATATGTCTCCTATATTTATTATTTTCTCGGTTCTTAAGAATAATATATTTATTAAAGTTCATCACATCGTATATAATGCATTTTCTACAGTATATGTTACAAGTTACAATTCTAAAATTCATAACAATTATGGTGAACATAAATTTTATAAAAAATATTAAAATATTACTCTTCCAATTTTAGAAAAAAATCTCGTAAAATGGCGTATCAGATAGGCACTTTACAATGCTTTTTTTTTAATTGATCAGCCCACTACATATAAATACTTCTTACACATATATATCTCTTTAGTCGTTACCTGTGTAAGTTTTTTCATGTTTCGTTTTCTCGTATTGTTTATATATATCAAAAGTTCCGAAACTACAAGTCACTCACCTAAACAATTCCTCGGTCCAGCACTGAACGGAACGAAAGCATGATTGTGCATTGGCTCGAAGAATCTATCAGGATTAAATTTCTCCGGTTCATGGAACGTCTTCGGGTCTTGATAAACGGCTTCATAAAATACTACAACGGTTGTGTCGGCTGGTACCTTTCTACCATCTGAAATAAAAGATTTTCCAATTATTAATGATTCTTATGGAATGTCTATAGCAAACTTCAATATTTTTGTTAGATATATTTGTATTTGCAACTAAATGCGCTTATTTAATTTTATAATAAGTTTGGTAAGAAAATAATTTCCGAACTAATTTACCAAGCAATTATTTTTAACATAGAAAAGTTCTTTGTACAGGCGCTGGATGGTCATTGGTCATACTTATGAATTGCTGAACTACAAACATGCGGCCAATGCCAAGTCATGGCGATTTATAACGCCTTATGAAACTTATCCGCAAAAACATTTATCAATTCTTCCTATAAAAGACCTACTCATACACCGTGTGACTGTCAACCATGCGTGTTTTAGCACCAGCTATGAAACAAATGAAATTTGTATTCATAAACGCAATCAGCGAGGTCCTTCTCACTCTTACTCCACTTTGCAAGTGCATAAACGAGACAAGTAGAAGGTTACAATGTTTAATTACCTTTAAATTCTAAATCATTTTTGAGTTGTCTTCCAATTTTCGTCACCGTGGGAATCGTTCTAATACTTTCTTTAATGGCTGCCTCAAGATATTTCATGTCTGTCAATTCGGTATTGGTTGGTTTTCTGGTAAAGTCCTTATTATAAATAGATTTTTGTTCTTCTAAAATTCTCTTCTGGACCTCTGGGTACTTGGCAATGCAGTATAAGGTGTGTGCCATCGTCATTGTTGTCGTGTAGTGACCCTGCAAACAAATATATTAAAAACTAATTAACTTGGTTGTACTGAAATTTATTAAAATTCGTTTTAAAAGGTTCGTTTTAATTACAAAAATTGTATTTCAAATGTAATATTTTTGTGAAATTTTCAAAGAAAATTCCCTTACTGGAAACCAATTTAAAACTAAGATTAAAAATTAGAGCGCACAGATGTAGGTACATATATAAAATAAGAAAACAGAACAGCACCAAAAATGTGGGTAAGACATAAAAAACTTGGTCAACTTACAAGCTTATAATGTAAATAGGTAGTAAATTTGTATTCTTGTCAGCCCATAATGAACAACTTACAATACTTCATACTTATGTTAGGAAATTGTAATTTTCTATAGAATGATTTTTTAATAAACATGTACTTACAGTCCAGGAAACGAGCGTTATTTCGTCATTAATCATGTCTTCAGGAAGTGGCTCTCCATTATAAATTTTGCTCAAAAGGAATTTATCCAAAAGACACATATCATCAGACACTTTGTTCCCCAATATCTCTTCCAAGTCAACATCAACGTTTCTATTGTTATTTTTAGTGTCGTCAATTATTTTTTTAAGCTCCTTCTTCCTCTCGGAAATTATCTAAAAATGTAGCACGTGAAAATTATTATTAAACATTTTTCCTCATATTAACCTCAAATAGCTCTAGAATGTATCGTCTTTGGCTCTCCTATACTTACTATATGCATAGACACGACGGCTTTTTGGAAAATTTAATTATTCGCTTATTTCTTGCAATTACCTAATTATTGGTATGATTATATATGATATGATATGTGTTGAAAGTTGGAAGCAAATATATATAAATAACCAATTAAGTGAGCAAATAATGTATAATGGTATCTCTGCCCGTATACGGCTAGGAGCAGATATTTCTGCATTTAATTCAGTATTTTTAAAATAGTTGGCTTATCCTTGATTATCCACTGTTTCATGTCTATTAATTAATCGGTCCAATCTTATAAACGTACTATAAGGCTCAATTAATAAAATGTTTTGGCTTTATTTAAAGTATTACGAAAGTGATAAAGGTAAAGCGTTCGATAGGCATTATCATCATTTACGAATGTAACAAATTAAATTTTGATAAAGAACTTACCACAGTGCTTGTGTCTCGAATGGTTTTTATGGTTTCCGTCATTTCCTTATAAAATGGTGTTAGTTGGAAAATAAACTTGATGTTTCTCCAATACGAGAAAAAGTTCTGAGTTATGATATTAACGACTCTGAAAAACGAGAGAATTCATCATATAAAAAATGTGCACGGGCAAGAAACAAATTCTGATATGGATATGGAATATTTTTTATTATCATCAAAATGACTTGTGTTGCAGCATAAATCAGGAAATATTAGATTCCAATTAAGTCAAAGTCATAACTTTTATATGACTAAAGGTATTAAATAGTAGGAGAAATTAAGCAAATTTGAGGAAACTTACTTTGCACTGGCTTTTAAGTAAGGATGGTCCGGGGTTGAAAGAAGATCCGAATCGACACCCATAAGTGAATCTGAAAATTAAGAAAGATTATGATGACTAACAATCTATTAATCTGCCCTAAGTAAGGAATTTGGCATCGTTAAAATCTACCCCGCGATTTAGCACGCACGATTTCGACTGTGCACGAATGGACTTCCTGCCTATGCATTTAACATTCCCTCATACGATGAAGGAAAACATTGTGAGATAACAGTTTCAGACAGAATCCCGATCATCTTGTTTATAAATATGATCAAAAAAACATATGATAACTGAAGCATATAGGTTGAAGCGCCACGTGATCAATATTACTATAGTACATTTGTCTTGTGTTATCCTATAATTTTAATAATAAATAAATTACTTTCTATGTAATTTAGAAAGGACTTCGATTGGAGTGAGCGTAATGGACCCTTTCCCGGTGCAGACCAGTTTTGACTCTATACTTTGATGTTGCTTTGCCATAGGGGCTTTTAATTTTTGATTAGCTATTGGATCATCCGGATCCGTTGACACATGTCGGGGCCTCCTCAAGGGGCTTATAAATATGTTCAAGATTAAACATGTTTTATCATAATACTTACTGCACAAAATATCGAACATATACGGTCTCAGATAGCGGTACATATCGACCACAGTACCGTCGTGATCGTCTAAAACCTTGAACAAGCTGTCGCAGTATTTATTTACGTGCTCTACCCTCTTCTCCTGGGTTTTGAAGTGGAAACTTGGTGCCATCAACTTGCGTATTGTTTTCCAACGTTCACCTATGAAAATTTAAATTAAACAGTATTATTATGGTAGCCTAAAATAGGATTAATTCATATTGAAAGTTATTTTAAACAATTATAAAATGGTCTATTGAGTAAATTGTTATGCAGTGTTTATCTGTTTCAAATTTTTCTTAATTTGCTATTAAACATAGAAATACAAATGTTAGTTCAAGTTAAAGGCTGACTTTCTGAACCGATACTTAGAAAAGTCAAAAATCATTTATTCATATAGGTAACACAATGTACACTTATGAACATCAAAAAAGAAATATACACTAAATGCTTCTAATTTTACATTTACTGCCAGTTCTCAAATCAAGGGCGTAGAACGGAAGAGAAGAACTGGCAATAAACTCTCCGCCACTCTTTTTTTAGAGTTAAGTATTTCTGGATTTTGATGGGAGCCATACTTCGCAGTATTTTGTCTCTGAATCTTATCCTAAGACAATTCAAGATTTATTCACTTAATTAACATCAACTTAATTAATCTAAGTTAATCATGTTTTAAAAACTATTTCGATTTGCTTTCCGAGTTCCGTTGGCAGCCTTCCTTTAAATGTGAAAATGCGTGGGAAAATCTGATTGAGATAAACACGGATTGGTAACAGTTTCAGTTACCGCAGTCAGACACAGTGACCGCATAGTGTAAACTGTTTTAGCATTCACATAGTGTGACAAATTGCTATATTGCTTTAAATTCAGTTAACAACATATATACTAGCGGCATGTCCTTCCTTTCGCACGGCTGCATTTTTTAAATGAATGTTGAATTTTTCAATAGAAAAAATTTTTAATATTAAGAAACATCTTTAATATATAAAAAAAATATTTGTCAACACGTCTTGAAACGTCAAGTTATAAGCCTTCAAACGAATTCGCCAAACAAACACTCCAATTAAGTAATAATAACTGTTAATATTCTCAAGCAAAAAAAATTTAAAGTAAAAGCTCTTTTAAAATTTTAAAGTAATAACATAACTCTTAAAGAAAGATGAATGCATAACATGCCCCTGCGCAAACACGTTATTAAAAGCTTTCTATTACGCCAAAAAAACCCAACTGGGTTTTTCGACGTGAAATTTTTTGGTCAATGTTGGCAAGACACCGCAAGAATTCGATGAGCTTAGTCCAGTAAAGGATAAGCTTCCAGTGGAAAGACTTTTTTAAAATTGAATATTCTTTAACGAAATCTTTTCTATTGTCATTGATCCGTTGCCTTTTAAGTTGTTTAGTGTTCTTGATAGTTAAAAATTAATGCTCATGTCATAATGGTTATCAATTAAATCAAAAGCAATTGTAATAAACGTAAAAATGAATTATTGTAAATAATTGACCGTTTAATTAGTTTAAAAATAATTAAACATTTCTATCTTTCCGATTAGATCTGCAATCCTTTTATATACCATACTAGCAGACCGGCCAAGCGTTGCTGTGGCTAAGGTTTTACATAGTAGGTACATAGTAGTAACCTATTCAAGGGAATCGGTAGGAGAACACCAGTCATGTGGACCACCATGCTTTTTTGGTGGTAATGCCATTAAATTGTAGCTTATTTGAAACGTTGGTACTTTCAACACAGCGTCATCTCTTAGAATTGTGACTATCAAATAATATACAAATATTTTGCAATAAAATAATATTGCTGGTATAAATTGAGCTATCCTATCTTTTAAGTTAGATCAAACTGCACACGGTGTGCAAATTTGATTGAAATCGGTTCGGTAGTTTAGGAGTCCATAGCGGACAAACAACGTGACACGTAATTTATATATATTAAGATTTCTATATAGTTTTAATCGGACATCGGTCAAAAAATATTGCTTTTATTACGTCATTTATATTTGGCAGTAATTACCATAACAAAATTTACTTTTTAGTTTCTGTTACATAATATTTGATATATCTTACCTTCTGAAGTTGAGACGGAATTTCCAAAGAACGGTGCCATTGCTGTGTTTCTTTCAACTTGCTTTCCGAGTTCCGTTGGGTGATTAAGAATAGTCTGCAATGAAGATTATTATACAATCATACATTCAAACTAAAATTCACAATGGAATTAATCATTCATCTTCAATAATAACACTCCTATAACGTTTAACTATTTGAAAGTATTAATTTACGCATTTTGAGGGTAGATACAATACAACAATAATAACAATATAAGAAGATCAAATAGTTCATAGTTACTGCCCGGGGCATGGGGCAGACACATTTCAGCATTAATTTTATTAATTATATATGAAGGTCACGCACTGGATAAGCCTTCAATGCCTAGCGACACAAGAAGAGAACATCAATTTTAAACTAATTTTCAATGACTTCGACATCTTCTTGATAATCATAGGCAACAAATACAAGGAAACTAAATACAAAAAGGGGTCATAAGCTTTCTAAATATAATATGGCTTAAGAAAATAAGTTTTATTGACATTGAAGTGGGGTCACTCTCGGGCCATCTGGGCCAGGCTAAGTCAAAATGTTGTGAACTTTCTATTGAAAACTCATAATGTACAAGTGAAATTGTTAACTATAATTTGATAAACAATTATTGTAGAAATGACATGTTTTGAAATTTAGAACTTGTTTTATATATATTACCCATATTAATATAATGTATGATTATACACAAGCTCTCTCAATTAGCTTATTATGAATTATATAAAATTGTAATTTAAATTTATATTGTTAATGCAAAATGTGCCTGGGGCGTTAGAAGCTTCAGAAATACAGTTTTATTATGTATATAGTTAAGTAATAATTAACGTTTAAAAAACAACTCTGTACGACGGTTAGTACGTTGTAAATAGATTTCCTTACCGCAATGTCATCAGGATTTGACAGAAGCACCCATTCTTCAGATCCCACTGTCATTCGGAAGTTGGTTCTTCCGTGCTTCTTCCATATTTCCATTAACTTGTGGGAAGAATCTAAAGGAAAGCAGAGAAATACTTAGTTTTTTTCTAATTTTTAAAACAAGTAATATAAGTGCAGTAGTTACGTTAACGTATATTGCGTATTTCGGAGTTCAATTACCGGCGATAATAATTGTTTCGGTTCAACACAGATGGCTGTCACTCTGCTGTGGCTGTCACGCATACACGTCTCGAGATAAGGCATTGTGTATTATCAAAAAAAAATCAGTGGCGCTACAACCTTTTTAGGTCTAGGCCTCAGATTTTTGAATCTCCTTCATAATCTAATAGGATTAAATCTAATAGGCAAGTAGGTGATCAGCCTCCAGTGCCTGACACACGCCGTCGACTTTTTGGGTCTAAGACATGTCGGTTTCCTCACGAAGTTTTCCTAAACCGTTCGAGCGAATGTTAAATGCGCACATAGAAAGAAAAAAATTTGATGCACAGCTGGGGATCGAACCTACGACTGGGGTGAGTCGCACGCTGAAGGCTCTAGGCCAACACTGCTGCTATTATCAAAAGGGCTTTCAAAAACAGCAATATCTATGGTTTAAATAATTATAACGTATTCTTCAAAATAAATAATTCTAAACCGTTTTAATAAAAAACAATTTCTATAAGTTCGAACATTAAAATAATTTCAAAGGTGTGGCCAAATTTTTAACTAAAAAGAAACTCACCATCAGCATCGAATCCCAATTGGAACCCATTCCCCACGATCGGTAGTGGATAGTCCCCAGGATACTGACTTAGCAACTTCCAATTCCGACTGCGCCGACGCATGAACTCATATGTGCACAACAAAGCCACTGCGGTCACCAAAAGTATGAAAAACATGTTCACTGTTAGTCTTAACCCTCGGCAGTGGTAAGTCCAAATAAATTGTTTCACATGAAACAGATTCATTTATACCGCGCTATCATGCCGCTTATGACGCAGTCAGAGCTCATTCTTGCACCTTCCTTAACACTGGGAAGCCCATAGCTTTTAGTTACCTAACATCTGTATACTTTAGCTAATCGTTAAATATACTACATTAATAGGCAATAGTAAAGTTGGATAAAAAATGTGGTATGTCTTTATTATTACTAAAATACTTAAAGGTTTTTTAAAGGGTTCTTAAAGGTTAGTTAAAAACATTGCAATGCTACAGTAGTTTTGTGTCGTAAAGAAAAATAATACAAGAAAAGTTTGAGGAAAATTGTGAAATATTTTGGGACATATATTACTAATATTTTACGGTATTTTATTTTTAAATTTCGTATATTAAATTAATTAATATAATTTTATGAAACACTTATTTAGTAATTGATTAGCGCAAATCCTTTAATTATCCCGTCTTTAAATAGCTAAACCCTAGCAATTAATTTGTTGATTATTAGATATCTATTTTTTTATGTTTTAATATAAATATATTTATTGTGAAAGCATTGTTAGTACTTATAGGTAATTATTCATATACTAAACTGTCTATTTTTTGTGTTATAAAATTCAATATTTATTTATATGTATTACTAATACAGCATTATTTAAATACATTATAAAAAGATTTTAATTCAATTTGGAAAATTTAAATATTAGGAAAAACGAGTCCGTCTAGGAATAAATAAAAATGTTTATTGGTAATAATTACAATCCAATATACAGTATCTAAAATTTTCTTAACTGACAAAATAACAATAAAAATAATTAAAAATTAATAAAACGAAAATTAAAACAAATTTAAAAAGTTTGGTCCCTGTGGCGCGTTCCTTTAACGATGGCAGCATTTCCTCGCTGTAATGCTATACTTATTCGTTGAGCGAGGAAAGCACCAGCTCTGGGGTCACCGGTATTATCTACCAGGCGCCTACATACATTTTTTAGCGCCTGTGCACTTGAACCCCACGGCTCAAGAGTCTCTACTCCAAAGGGATAATAATTGATTATTACTATTGATTGGGATTCATATTATTAGAACTAGGATAGTTATGTGCTATTAAAATACATGGTTTATTGTTTATGAATACGTTCAACACGCATCGCTATTGAAGTTACAATAATACAGAATACGTTCAAAGTAAGTAGTTGAAACTCACGTGTTCTTTCACGTTATCCTAAATCATTACCCGCTGTCTTGAATTAATCAATAATATTTCCTTAAAAATGAGGAAAACTCTGCGAGTTTGTAACGTGACTTATATGAGCTAAAATCATAATTGCATCATAATGATATAGCTATTAAGAATTGTCAATATTACGTGTTAAGAGGCATGCCTTGATAATGACCTCTTTATTGAATGAGAAAAATGAATGTGAGGCCGTGAGGCCGATTCACTGGAGCGACCATGTTAAAGCTCTAACAGGCGTTGTTCGTTCGGATTGGAAGAAGTTATTTATTTTGTAATCTAACATAAATTATATTTGAATAACAATTACATTAAAGATCAAATACATAATATATACAAAAAGGTTCATTTATGAATGGAAAAAAATATTAAAATTAAATAAAATGAGTACATTATTCATGTAATTAAACATTTAAAAAATTGTGCGTGGAGTGCCACCACCTTGTTCACGAAACCACACGAAAACTTTAACTAAACCTTAAGCGATTATAAAGACTGGGGGATACTTGATTGGGAACTTGATGTAAATGTAAATTTAGAACTTCCTAATTTTTAATAATGACGTTCATAGTTACCAATACGATTAAATTAAATTTTGATTGTATACAGAACTGAGTGTCCCATAGGTACTACATATTTGTTAAAGTGTACTTTACGCTGTATCGCTAGGATACAGTGTAAAGTTTTATACACTTTGTCACTTTATTATATATCTGTTATAAAGAAGTCATTAAGTTACCGATTATAATCAAATAATAAGTATTGTCTACTAAATTATATTAGAAGAAATTTAATTGTATAGGTTTACCTATATGAATAAAGTTATTTTGAGTTTGAGTTTAACTTAAATTTTACTGACTTGGTGAGCGGTAAGATAGTGTTTATGTCACTAAAAACCAGTCGCCTTTAAGGGGGGGCCTTATAATTCGAGATCCCGCTGCAGGATTGGTGCGGTCATCACTATTTGTTTAAAACAATTTTTATGTTTATTTATAATTAAGAGAATATATATTTACTAGGGTGCCTATCAAAATTTGGCCCCATTATTTTTAATTAAATTATTTTTAATTGTTTGAAAATCGTTCATTTATTATTTAAATAAAATAACGTCTACATCACGGTAATTAATATGAAGATTCTAAAAAATCATATCAAGTAATGTGAATAAATATGATTAAATATTTAATTTTCCATCCTTCTGAGCATTAAGTAAAAAGGGAGGAAGGGTAATAGAAACATGTACATACCTCTATTAGCTTTACCTGACATAAAACCTTGATAACTTAAACCTCGATAACAAAAATTTGTTCCTTTGGACTTTATCTTATCGAGGTTCTACTGTATGATAATTAATAGAAAAAAATTAGCTTCAATTTGAATATAATTAATAAAAATAGGTTATAAACGTATAAATTTATCGAAATCATACCTGCTTACACCTGGCTGCAAAGAGGTGCGGCCAGGTGCGCAACACTGCCCGCTGATTTTTTAGAATCTTCATATTAATTACCGTGATGTAGACGTTATTTTATTTAAATAATAATTGAACGAAATTTTTTTACCAAAAATCAATTAAAAAATAATGGCGGCCAAATTTTTGATAGGCACCCTAGTAAATATATATTCTCTTAATTATAAATAAACAGTAAAAATTGGTTTTTTGGTTTTAAACAAATAGTCGATGACCGCACCAATCCTGCAGCGGGATCTTAGACCATTAGATATGTTACGTGATCATTTGTTATTCTTATAGTAGGCTTGTAGCTGATTGGCCTTCTGTACCTGACCGTCGAAAAAGTGACCACTCTATAACGTGTGTTGATATTCATTGAAATTTAACAGGCAACACACGTTGGAAATGGGTAATTGATTATCTGTGGTGTGCGGGCAATCCGATTATTACATTAGCTTAATTATGCACAAGTACCTGTGGGATAGTTTCAACTTTGGCAGATTCTAGAATTTATGGCCGTTATTTTAACTGTCACTGTCTAATTAATGTAGTGTATACTAACAATAATTTGGTCACGCACTATCTATATATATATATAAATGTTATGTTGGTTTGTGTACGCTTCAAAAACTCAAATAGTTCTGCACCGACCGAGCTGAAATTTTAGCATGATATATAATCCGCATCAAGGATTGTTTTTTTCTATCTTTTTTTATTTTTTTATAATTTTTTTCCACAAGTATTGCAAATTAAATTTATATGAAATGTTTCTTTGTCTTGTTCATTTCTCAACCATTCAATCACAATGTGCTACAGCGAAGCGCGGCGGGGAACAGGTAGTTAATTATACAGGGTGGTCAAAAAGTCATCAGCTGCAAAAAAATTGTTCTACGGGAGGTCTCTAAGCTCAACCCCTGCAGAGTTATAATTTATTTTGGGTTTTTATAAGAAAATTAACTTTTTTTACTAATTCTTATTAAAATTCAAAAATATCTACACCTGTATATTTTTCATAATATCCACTACATTGGTACTGATGAGTTCTTGTGGTAGACATACTATTTATAGTTGTTTATTAAGTGTATTGAAGATAATATTAAGTTATAAGATATATATTTTTTTCAAATCATAACTTTTTGTTTACTTCGGAATGTGAAAAAAATTACTCTACTGAAAAGTGACCCTATATTACAAGTTTTGGCGCATTTACTAGGGATTCTGAAAAGGTATTACACGTGGCCATGAGTCGCTCTAATATCTAAGGCGCTACAACCTTTGTAGGTCAGATTCAGATATTTGTATCTGTTTCATTATCATTTGTCAATTGAAAAGGCAAGTAGGTGATCAGCCTCCAGTGACACACGCCGTCGACTTTTTGTGTCTAAGGCAAGTCGGCATGTTAAATGCGCACATAGAAAGAAAGTCCTCAGGGATGAGAGTCGAAGCTGTAATCAACCTAGGTCAAGCATAATCAATAATTTTAAAATGATATCATTCTACAAAGCTTATATAAACGCTTGCATGCGTATTGCCTTTACGATACAAATATCCGAGATAAAGAGTTTGCAAATTCCATCTCAATACGTCTGCAGCAATACAACGTAAGCGACGCAGTTATTCACTGACACACCTTGTATAATCGAAACCGCCATTAAAGTAATTATAGGGGCAGAGGAAAACGATAATGACGTCATGTTACGTCAATATTCACAATTCGGTCATTGGCATGTCGGGTTATACAATATACATATTGCAATGCCGAAATATAAGGATAAAGAACACTTTATCCTTTAATCCGAATTATTTGCATAAAGTAATTAGTCAATGCTTTTATCATTTACTGCATAAAAAAACGGCCGGTAACGTACGCAGGAGGGTCATCTGATAGAGTGATACCGCCGCCCATGGACACTCACATTGCCAGAAGGTTCGCAAGTGCGTTGCCGGCCTTTCATGAATTGGTACGCTCTTTTCATGAAGGTCATCAAACTGCATTACGGTATTTTTTAATGTAATAGGAGGCAAACGGGCAGGAGGCTGCTCACCTGATTAACATCATCACTTAACAGTGATACCGCCGCCCATGGACACTCACACTGCCAGAAGGCTCTCAAGTGCGTTGCCGGCTTTTCAAGAATGGGTACGCTCTTTTCTTGAAGGTCATCAAACTGCATTACGGTATTTTTTAATCTAATAGGAGTCAAACGGACAGGTGGACCCCCCATGAACTCACATTGCCAGAAGGTTCACTCAAATCGCAAGTGCGTCGCCGGCCT